TGCCACAGTTGTTGCTAAGTGAAGCACTGCAGTCATTAAATTAGGAACATTGTTAAGTGAATCTGGCTGCTCCATTGACTTTGCTTGCCAGAAGGCTACAAAAGGGGAACACATGATCCCAGGATGCTGTGACTGTCATGAGTCAGTTGCCAAGTGTCTGAATTTTGATCACGTGACCATGGGAATACCGCAATAGTCGTAAGTGTGAAAAACAGTCATAAATCACTTTTTTTTCAAGGCTGTTGTAACTTTGAACAATCACTAAATGAACTGTTGTAAGTTGAGGACTACCTGTATACTGTCAGAATATATGTGCCAGTAAATATGATGCCCTTGCTCTAGTCAGCTTTCTGAAACCTTTTTGCTATAGACCAGATTATTTACCAAATAGTCCAGATTTTGGCCAGATTACTTTTGTGCAGCAAAGTTTAGTCTGAATGTTCAGACCATTGTCCTTAGACTAGCACCACCAGAATAGAGTCTTGCATTCGGTTTCATGCTATACCTGTGAAACTCACCTGAGAACAGGGCTAGTCCTTCGTCTTGCCCCCAGATTAACCTCAAGGAAAGAATTGTTTCGCTTGTGGCTTTCATGTTGCAATACAAGCTGCTTAGTCTGCCACAAAAATGTAACACCACCTACACAGAAGGATGGAGCAGGGAAAAGGGTTCAGGGAAAATGTAGCTTTTGCTACACATGTGAGGTCTTTGGAACTGGAGGAAAAGACGAGGACTCATTCCCAAAATTATGCTGTACTTTGGGGGAACTTCCAAGCAACTTCAAAACACAGAGCGTAGGTTTGTTGTGTTAACAACTCCGCTCCATGCCAGCAGTCTCCAATCTTGGCAACTTTAAGACTTGGGGACTTCAACTCCCAGAGTTCCTGGGAGTTGAAGTCCCCAAGTCTTAAAGTTGCCAAAGTTGGAGAGCCCTGCTGCATGCCACGGTCCTTGTTTTGTTGTATCTGTGAGCTGCTGCAGAGCTTTTAATGTCTTCTAACTATGCAAAAAGTGCTATTATGGCCAGCTTATTAAACTCATAAGCATTTGCTTCGCTAGTTGGGAATAGGATGCTGGATTAGATGGCTCTTCTTATGCTTGAATCTAAACTCGAGAGTATGAAAAGAAAGGAAGCTATAATTTGTTATAGTGTCTTGTTATAATAAGCATGTCAGGTAAAGTGATGTAAACATGCTGTGTCTGCAGTTTCTCAGTACTTTGGCAAGAAAAAATGCATTTTTACAACCCACAACTTGATTCCTCTTATTTAAAAATCAAAGTACTTCAGAACAACTCAGTTTTAACATTGTTTCTGTTGCAGTTGCTCATAATCCCAGCATAGATTAAACAATGGGAAGTTATGTTATTAATGGGAACTAGACTGAGTTGTTTCTCTATGTTATATATGTTGGTATATGCATAATTTTATATTTATTTATTTTATCATGTTTATGTAGTATATATTAGAGGTGGAGACCCTTTGAGAGCTGAGTGCAACAAAATTTCATTTTAATGTATACCGATTAGGGTACATTCAAAGTGACAATAAAGTTATTCTAAGTCTATCACAGTTGAGTTGAAGGGAGCATCATATATCATCCACAAAATATAGATACTCTCTTTCACAATCATGATCCAAGGACAGAGGTGGGATTCTACCAGTTCGCACCTATTCGCTAGAACCGGTTGTTAACATTCTAAGCAGTTCGGAGAACCGGTTGTTAGAAGAAATTACTGGCCTAATCCTGTAAGGAAGGCAGGAAGGAAACATTCTGGTGTTGCTTACAGAAACTGCATTTCTGTTAACACTTATTACATTCTTGGCAGGACTAGACTTCCTGTCTCAGGAACGTCTCTGGAGTTATTTTTTCGTCCTTTGCTGGCACTTTGCTTGTGTGGAGTGACCATTCAAAGTTATAATGACATTGAAGAAAGTGACTTATGACCCTTTTTCACACTTACGACTGTTGCAGCATCCCCACAGTCATGAGAGGCCAGGTGAGGAGATGGTGCCGAGATGTGAGTGACATTGAGTTGGCCACGCCCAGCCAGTAACATGACCACCAAGCCATGTCCACCCAGTCACATGACCACCAAGCCACGCCCACCAATTAAGCCACACCCACAGAACCAGTTGTTAAAAATATTGAATCCCACCCCTGTCCAAGGACCAGGCGAGATAATCATTTCTTTTCTAGCACTTACCATGGGACTTTTGCAGATACTGCTGAACTTTGACACCCAACAGATCTAACCAGCATGACTAATGGTGAGAAAAGATGGACGGTCTATGGCCCTGAGGCATGTGGTGCTGTTTCAGAAGCTTGGCAGACTTTTAACTGCTATCATATGAGTTTATCTGGGAACTATCTGTAAAATGCAGTGAGTTCAACATTTATAAATATTGTCTTCCCTAATTATCCGTCATTCATAGGACGTGTTAGTCTGCAAAGTACTTTCCCGTCTACATTTGTCTTTCAAATCCTTCCACTGAATCATAAATATTTCCATGTACAGATGAAGAAATGAGATTTAGAGCTATCAAATACATCCAAGAATGACATGGTAACCTTGTGTTAAAGAACCTGGATCTTTCTACCCTTAGGCTATAATGTTGAGTACTAGCAAGACAACTGCAGGTAGTGCTCGACTTATGAGCACAATTAAACCCCAAAATCATGTTGCTAAGTGAGACAGTGGTTAAGTGAGTTTTGCCCCATTTTACAACCTTTCTTGCCAAAGTTATTAAGTGAATCACTGAAGTTATGTTAGTAACACGGTTGTTCAGTGAATCTGCCTTCCCCGTCGATTTTGTTTTTCAAAAAGTTGCAAAAGGTGATCATGTGTCCCTGGATGGCTTCAAGCAGTTACTCTTGAAGAAATTGTGGAAGCCCAAGAAGAAGCTGTCTGTAATACAATATTATTTAGATTCCAGAATTAGCCGGAGCAGTTCATAGCCTACCTTTCCAAGGCAATTTCTTTTATTATTTATTTATTACATTTTTCAGTATACACCACCCATCTCACAGTTTGAGGCAACTTGTCCACATTTCCAGTTTGCAGAGGCTGCTGATGGACTAGACCTGACTGCAAATGCAATTTTTTAAAAAAAATAATAGTACTGTACCACTACTATTATAGGAAAACGAGACAATAGAGTCCAAGAAGTTGACAACAACTAGCAGTAAAGAAAAAAAAATGAGCAACACTTCCAGGCAGGAAGGTGAATGAGGCCATCATGGAAAGTTCAGTAGGGCTGAAGTCATCTTCAGCGGCCTGTTGAAGAGCAAGGGCTTAAAAGCTGCAGGCAAAGCAATTAGAAGCTCCACTTTGTCAGTAGCCTCACAGCAACGTTACAGGGGAAACAGATCCTAGGTCACAATATCCCCAGAGGAACCAAGCATGGAAGAAACCAAACACTTCAGAGAGAATCACGAGAATTCCCTCCACTCTAACTGAAGGAAGATACTCTCACTCCACCCTTTGGGGACCAGAGGCCTTCTAGTGATGCCGTCCCCAAGATCTCCTAATGCATGTGCAAAAACCACCCAGCTGACAGATTCATCAAATCGTGACCTGGCTTTCCTATTCAGATCACAGGGTCATCTTCTCCTCTGATTTCTGCTCCAAGGGGGGAATCTCAGTAGACTTCCCTGAGTGCATGGCCCCTTGCTTCCACAAAGTAAGACATTTACAGTCTTTCTTTCTTTCTTTCTTTCTTTCTTTCTTTCTTTCTTTCTTTCTTTCTTTCTTTCT